GACCGCCGGCAGCGAGGACTCCGAGAGCGTCGCCGTGGCCGTCCTGCCCGGCGTCGTTGACGACAACGGCGACAGCGCCGACAGCTTTGTAAGTTCGCGGCGACGCCCAGGAGACATCCTCGAGGACGGCGACGATGGAATGCATCGCCCGCCACCGAGTGTCCGCCGCCTTTTCTCAGCTTTTCTCCACCTCCTTGCACTGCTTTTGCCTGGTGCCCGGCCTCACTGTCAGGACGCGGTGATGGTTGACTACCACACAAGCGCTGGAAAAATAGAGAATCATGTGCTCTCGACGCTCCTATTTTAGGGTAGCGCCGGCGGCGGAGGCGGAGCTTCAGCGGGCGCTAGCGTGTCCCTCGACGGCGGCGACCTCGGCGCGACGGCGGGCGCCTCGTTCGACGACGCCGGCAGCAGCGCCGGGGCCAGTGCTGGGGCCGGCCTGGGCGGCGGCGGCGCGGGCGGCAGCGACTCCGGCTCCATCCTAGGACTGGTCACCCCACTCTTGGGCAGCAGCAGCCAGGTAAGGACAATGCCCGCCCGATGGGTCGCAGAACCTGGACGTGAAGAGGGAAGTCCCGAGCTGATCATTTCCGTTACGCCTCGCAGGGTTCCGCCGGGGACGGGTCGGGCGGCTCTGGAGGTGGATCGGTGAGTAGAGGCGAACAATTTTTTCCTTCTTCACTAGCGTATAGAAATTGAACTGCTTTATAGCTCGCATGGGCTCTTTAACGTTGCACTGCGCTTTGCTATGTACAATTGCTTATTGCGTATCACGCAGGGGCTTTTCGGCGGAGGATTTTTGGGCACCATCCTGTCCACGGTGTTTTCGGTAAGCTTTCTTGAGGACAGAGTGCGTCCCACTACCGGTAAGTCGGTGCGAGAGAGATAGAATCCATTTGAATAGTACACATCTGTCTCTCTTGCACCGACTGACAATTGGGAGGCGCTCCTTGTGCACAGCCATTCATTTTAGAGATGGATAGGCGTATGACCCTTGCAAACCTTATTTTACAGATCAAGTCGTTCATCTTCAGGAAGATTATTCAGTTGCTTGGATCATCATCAGGGCCTCAAGCTGGTTAAAACCTTATTAACTACTAGTTTTTCAAATAAAACAAATCTTAATTAATTTTCTATTTTACCTATAAATTGTATGTGATATCAGTTGAAGATTAAGTCAGCAGTGTTACAGTAGTTTCTCACTGATTGGGGAGAAGTGAAAGTTATGTATATTCTACCTTATATACGATGGGATCGCTTACTTATCTAAACATGGGGAATCTCACAAACCATGCATGAAAACTAAATATTCATATGAATGAGAGTAAAGTCTGTACATGCTTTTTACTGATTGTGAACAACTGTGATATTGCATGCGATCAAGTGCAGATAGCAATGGTATGAACTGTCATCTTTATCTTACTTTTTAAGAAAACATGTTGCTGGTGTAACCTTGGTGTAACTTCCACATTGCTCATAGTACTCAATTGAAATAATAATAATAATTTCAGAACGTTATTGTAAATGTAGTGTTCATATTTTGGAGCAAATTGTGTAACAATTCTGTTTTAAAAGTAATAATGATCTCTGTATGGCTGAATAAGTTTCTGCAATGCCCTCATCATCATTTGCACAGATCTAGGTATGAAGCCAGCATCACCACCCATAGAATCACCACGTAAATACTTAAGAATTTTGCTTTATAAGATATAATATAAAAAAGAACATTGTATCATTGTAGCATAATCAGCAGGTAGCAAATTAAGGTAGTTGTTCTGACAATTTTCTTTTGTATACATTATTATTTTGTAAAATGTCATGCTAAAATATACAAAGAGTTGAATCCCAATTGGTTTTATTTCACAAAAGTTATCTTCAGAATTTCTCTAGATACACCTGTCAACAACAAAATTAATTAATAAAGATTACTATATTGATTAAAGAGAAAATGACTCATGAAAACTAGAGAAGTCTTACCTGAGGGACATTTCCAGCATACCTCGCATTTCAATGAACTGTCTTTTGCCATGGTGGTTTCAAACTCTCTAAGGCTTCCTCCCACACCAAAGTAGTAGGTTTTAGCTGCTAGGTACCTAAACCATTGTTAAGAAAACAACTGATGGTATCACACACACACAAAGCAAATGCCATATTTTGCAATGCAAGACCATAAAGGATACACAGAGCCAGAAGTTTTAAGAAATTTCTTGAACACATCAATAAGTTTATTGTAATTTTGTGGATTATAAATCGTTTCTGAAGTCAATATGTAGTCAAATTTTATTTCACTATTTCTCTGTTCCTGCAATTTGTCGGAAAAAGAAGACCAATCACCACTGTAGAATTCACAGTTTGGGCCACCTTGGCTCTTGTTATTGATGAGTCTTTGAGATTCTTCGTCTGATAGGTTTAAGAGAACATTTGGTATAGTGCAAGAATCTAAAACTTCTTTGTTCTACAGAAAGGGAAATACAAAATTATGAATGAACTGTGCATTCCAAAAAGCAGCAGTAGACAGAACTATTTATATTCTGACTCACATAGTCTTGAAAAACCACAGCAGCGCCATATTTTAGAGCAGCGATTCCAAGTAAACCTGCACCGCATCCTAAATCTAAGACATATTTTCCTTCCAAATTTGTATCAGGGCCATCTGATATCAGCCAAGATAAAAGGTCCTCTGTACACTCCCAAATTTTTAATCCACCTGCAAGTTTCAAGAATTTCAGAGTTATAAATTAATTTTGATAGTAATTATATATGTGAATGAAGGGGATTCATTGTACAACCTTCATATTTGGAAGGAACTAAATCTGATTGTAGCTCTTCTGCAACTCTAATACCACTGCCAGATTCAGACTTTTCCAACACAGATTTGACTACCGATTTTGTTGACAAATGTTGTAGTCTAAAATTGGATATATTTGTTTGGCTTACTGAATCTTGATGAGAAAGCATATAGTTTAAATGTGAGGAGGAGACTTCCACTTTTTCTGAGTGCAACCACTCCAAATCTGAAGCATCTTGTTGTGCAGCAGCTGCTGAAACAATTAATTAAGTAAATCTTATTTAATAAATACACGAAAGCTAAATACGAAACAGTAATAGGAAAGGGTTGAGGTTAGAATGTAACCATTGCATATTTCATACTGAAGTTAATCACCTTGATCACTGTTATCATTTTCTCCATCAGGACGAGAAAATGAAAATTTGAACATGTCTATAGCTACTGATGCCAATGTCACAGCGCAAAGGTAAATGAATAACTGATATACCGGAGAAACATGTTCTCAAAAATTGAGGAACACACAAGCAGAAGAATGTTTACAATCTGTAAATAATTGTACCGGTACATAGTACACAGAACAGGGCAGAGGGCGAATAACGAAAAACAACACCGGCCAGTGAGTGTAAAGTGGTGAAAAGTTGATTGAAATTTAAGTGTCAACTGGTGTCAACATCAACTACAAGTACTGCCTGAACGTTTACCAAAGTAATACGTGTACGTAAGTAATCAGCGTTTGTGTTTTTACATTTTTAAAGACTATCAGCCGATGAGCCATTATGAAGTCAAGGGTGCTAGAGGTTATGTTTTCTTTTGTAATGTTTGGACATGCACAAATTGTGAAGAAGACTAATTTTTTAGAATTTATTTCCAGAGATTTAATTCACCGCATTTTCTGAAAGTTTAAAATGGCTGACGAAGATGAAGGCAATGAGTATCGGTGGGAGACTGGTTATGAAAAGACATGGTACTTTTGTTAAAAATTATTTAATTTAAATAGTTTCTAATTCACCTAGATTCCACTTTTCTAAAACTTAATTAATTTTAAATGTAGGGAGGCCATCAAAGAGGATGACGATGGGCTGCTGGAAGCATCAGTGGCGGAGATCATCCAGCGAGCTAAGAGAAAGCGACAGGCTGAGAGGAAACCTAACACTCGTTTGGGTATGATGAGACACCTCTACATAATTCTGGATTGTTCTGATGCAATGTCAGACCAAGATCTAAAACCAACACGTCAGCTTTGTACAGCCAAAGTGAGTCAAATAGATTTTATCCACCACTTTTATCTAAACATTTTGTAAGTAATTGTATTTTAAATTTTATTTCAGCTCTTGGAGGGTTTTATAGAAGAATACTTTGATCAGAATCCCATTAGTCAAATGGGGATTATTGTTACTAGAAATAAGAGGGCAGAGCTTGTGTGTGAATTGGCTGGAAATGTACGAAAACATGTTGATGTAAGTCAAAACTTTTAACATATGTATTTTTTCATCTCTTAAAATAAAATTGGCATGTCTTGGATTTATTTGACTTTTGTTTTCTAGATTGTGAAACAAATTGCCCAAGGTCCTTGTAGTGGAGAGCCGTCACTACAAAACTCTTTAGAGTTGGCTTTAAGCTCTTTACGTCTCCTACCTGGACATGCAAGTAGAGAAGTTCTCATTATAATGGGTTCACTCACCACATGTGACCCTCATGATATCAATGTTACAATCCAGGTATGTAATTGTTTTAGTTATCAATACAATTCATATTAATTTACACTTTTATTTAATTTAATCTACCTCTGAATTTTAGAAACTGAAAGCTGAAGGCGTTCGTTGCTCAGTTATTGGATTGGCTGCAGAAGTTAGAGTTTGCCGGCAGCTTAGTAAAGAAACGGGTGGCTTGTACTCAATTATTTTAGATGATTGCCACTTCCGAGATCTTCTCCTTCAGCAAGTAGAACCACCACCAGCTGCTCGCACTCAGGACTGTTCACTTGTTCGCATGGGATTTCCTCACCACAGCAAAATTGGAAATGATCCAGCTGATGCCAGTGGTGCCCCCAACAACAATGCTATGTCATTTTGTATGTGGTCAGTATCACTTCTCATTACGCATCAGGGTATGCCCACTCAAAGAACATGGGTGTCCTGTGACTTGTCTTCTCATTTGATTTGAATGAATATAGTGCAAGATAAAATAACGCCCTTGAAAAAACTAAGAAGGTGGAGTAGGCATACCCTGGTATACCCAACGCTGTCATATACAATAAGTTACTTTTTAAAATTAACATTTTTCCCTAAAATTTCAGTCATTTGGATGTGGAAGGAAAGATGGATGCAAGTAAACTTGGTGTTGCCGGCCACCTGTGTCCTCAATGTGGGAGTAAGTACTGCGAGTTACCTGTGGAATGTAGAGCGTGTGGCCTCACACTTGTCTCAGCACCTCATCTTGCTCGCTCCTACCATCACTTGTTCCCTGTGGATAACTTTTTGGAGATGGATGCAAAAGAAAATATGAAGCACAACTGCTTTGGGTGCAGACGAAAATTTGTAGAGATTGATAAACATGTATGTACTTTCTTATTTCTGGCCCCAAAAATATTTTGTTACAATGGAGAAATTAATCCATACATGTCTTATTTCATTTGCAGGTCTACAAGTGTGGTGCTTGTTCTCACATCTTCTGTTTAGACTGTGATATTTTTGTTCATGATACCTTACACAGCTGTCCAGGCTGTACAAGTTCTTGTAAGAATGTCAAATAAGCATATCTTGAGCTACTAAAATGAAGGTAAATGTGCAAGAAAATAACCACCAATTTATTTTCTCTTTCTCACTATCCTTGTCAGACCCTTAAAATGCTAAGCAAGGCAGGTTCCTCAGTGCTGTTTATACTCCAGGATAATATTTTTTAAAAGTAAGCAGCAATGTATTCACAAATAATTGTGTACATAATTTATTTTTAATAATATAAATATAGAACATATCTGAGTAAAGCCAAGCATAATTAAATTGGTCAACTAATAACCCATTATAGTCATTCAATTAGACAAAGTTAATTAAATTGCAATTCATTACTTTTTAAGAGCAGCTATTCTCTCATTAAGTCCATTCATATTCTTCTGAATAGTTTCAACATTCTCTGCAAAGCCTTTATCAACAGACTGCAGTAGCTTCTCATTGCCTTCAAGACTGGTAGCTATTTTTAACTGGAAAGCTTCCAGCTTAGCAAGGGAGGATGAAAATTCACTTGCTACAAGAAAGAACAAAGGTCAGTACATTCAAGTTGCATTCACACAGAATGACCTAGTCTTTTATCTATTTTTTAACTACTTGTGACATACCTTCACGATGGAGTGATTCAAGTGCAGTGAGACGTCTTATAGTTTGGGGAAGGATGCTGGAAATGAACTCAGTCTTCTTGACTAATTCATAGAGCTCCGTCACCTTTAACATGAGCAAACATAAAATGAACATCAAAAAGCTTAGCGGGGAATACAAATATTTCTTTTGCAGTACATATTTACTGCAATTAATTTTCACTGTACCTTAGCATCTTTCTCAGGGTCAGACTGCCCATTGACTTTTTCAGCAACAACATCCATTTTACTGGCCAAACCAGTCAACCTGCCTTCAGCAGTTTCAATTTGTGTGGGCTCCAGCAAAGCAAATCGGCTCTCTAACTTTTCTACTGCTTCTGTGATGCTTTGATTGTGTAAGGTTGATCCCAATCGAGCCTGTCAAAGAATGAATTATAGAATCACATATTTCACTTCAAAGCCCATTTCTACTATCAAAATAGTGCAAATGGGGATGTATACCATATTTTCATTGGATGTTCCAAGAACACTCTCTAGCTTATTTAAGCGCTGTTCCAACTCAGCAACACGGGATGTTTGCTGAAGTTGACTTTGCTCAGGACGATAACGTAATTGGTACAATAAACCATCCCCTGCAGGACCTGCTGGAGCTGTCTTCTGTTTTGAATTCAAATCGGTAGATTTAGTACTCTTTTGTTTGTAAGTTTCAAAATGAGCAAAGAGTTTCCTGAAATTATGACATTTTTGTTATTAGAAAGTAATGAAGACTAGGAAACCACGAAAATTAATTGATTATTTGATGGAATACTTGATTTGTGCTGTCTCTGGGTCTTTCAATGATGCCAGTAATTCTGGTCCAAGAGTCTCTTCCAAGCGAAATTCAGACAGTTGCTTCTGAGCACGCTCAATATTTGCAGCCAAAGCTTTGTAACCAGCTGTCTGATCCGAAGATGAACCCTTATTACCTTTAGCCTCCTCCTAAAAATACAATTTGATAAAAATCACAAGCTACCAATTTGATATTAGGAATGAGCATGCAATTAAATATTACAGAACCTTCAAGGTTGCTACTTCTTCCAGGAACTCTTTCATCTCACACTGCAGTCGCTGGTATTTCTGAAGAATAGTTTCCTTTTCTCCCTCCCCAGCCAATTCCCATACACCTGACCTAAAAATAAGCTCAGATAAGAAAATTTGACCCAAAGCATAAAATAAATTGATTGAAATGAGGGTAAGCTCAGATAAGAAAATTTGACCCAAAGCATAAAATAAATTGATTGAAATGAGGGTACTCACCTAGCATCATAGCCCCTGTTTGGGACCTTTTTCAGGCGGTCCGAAAAGTCAACCGCATTGCCAGATAAATGTTTATCTTTAAACTTCAAATACGATTCAGAGGCACTGAGATGTAATCTTTCAATGCATTCATTTTCCTCCTAGATCGGGGAAAGTATGAGTATTTTTAAGGTAAGGACCAGATTTACTTAGGCTATTTGAGGGAGTCTTACCTCATAGGTGTCATCATTTTGATCTGCCTCTGGTAAATCATCTGTTTCATAAACATCTGGTTGGTCATAAGCCTGTGAAGGGAGAGAAAAGAAAGCAATAAAACTGCTGCACCTACAAAATCAATTGAATCTTGAATATGTACGATTTGGTCAGAGCGACTTGAGCAGCGTCAGGTGTTTTAAGGCATGGATCACAGTATCACCTCTGGTAAATTTTGAAACAAAGTTCAGAGAGAAATGTAATGAGTGGAGTATAAATCTAGAAATTTGAGAAACTTCTCTCAGGGTGTGAAGAACAAGGTTAGAATTTTAACATATGTGGAATAGAGTTAAATCAAAACGTCAGTTCTATAAAATTAGGTTTCAATGAAGAATAACTTACAATGCCCGGCAAATTGGCATATTTTGGGTCAGCCATCGTACCAAAATATACTCCAAAATAACTACAAATACAAATGACAACTGTACTTGACAGCCAGCCAGACACTAGTCACAGAGTGTGTCCGAATTCAGCCACCGACCGAGCACCGACCGGTCGGTGCTCGGTCGGTGGCTGAATTCGGACACACTCACAGCACAGCAGGGCTTGCCTGCGAATAGTGTGTTGGTGCATAAACTCAATTTTTAGATTCATTCAAACAATATTGTAGGTTTTTCTGTGAACTGCTGCAGTGCTGGTTTTTATTTGTAAAATTCATCCTGTAAGTTGGGGCACCTTTTTTTGGTGTGTGGTGTGTGTGTATCTTATGCTCATCTGGTCTGATGGGTTGGCAATGCTGTAGTATCATGAGTACTGGGAAAATTTCTAACCGCAAAATTTGTTTAAAAACCATTTGTTAAACTCAGGAACACTAGGCTTTGCATGTGTTACGGGCCCAGTGTCATTCATTTTAAAAGCTTTCACGTGGCCACGGTTAGAAGGTACGTTTTTTACAGTACAGCCTAGGAACAAAAACGAGGACATATAGAGGCTATATGCTAAAAATATTCTTTGTCCTTTAACCTCCTTTGACTACATATCGGTGTTGACCCATTTTCTTCTAGTATTTATTTGTATTTTCTAGACATTACTTGTTTTTGTACCCTATTTTTCATCAAAACTTTCCACAATGGCTCTCGGTCTTCTTTTTTAAAACTATTTATGTCACTTCTCTATTAACCGAATGATAGCTAGAGTGTGTTTGAATTCTCAATTGTTCTATTCCGGATAGGTCAGAAGCTCAGAATCCCCCGGCCTTATTCACCATTTCAACCTGTTAACTACAACGTCACAATTTAAAATTTTGCCACTCTCCCAGAGTCAAAGCTCACGGTCCACTTTACTCCGAATTGGTTTTCTTCACTCATTCCCACCATTCATATGATAACATCCTGGTCATGGCGCTTTATAATTAATCAGTGAAACAAAGAAAACACTAAGTGGGAGCTCATGTACCTCTGTTTATGTCTCAGCTGAAGCTAGGCAGAACAGGTTTCTACATCGATTTGTATGATTCACAATGCTTTCTTATTTGAATCACAAAATAAGCTTTGAGAATTTCTTAAATTGAAATGTGTTTATTTTTTAATGTCTGTAGACATTGTCCTTGTATTATCTATTGCACATAATGCATTTCATTGTATCATACTTTTGAAGAAGAAAACTGCTAGAAAATTTGGTGGATCAGTTAGTTTGGCACACAACCATATCCATATTAGGAGTTCCCTTCTACAGAAATGTTATGCCGTGGTCGTAAAGAGGGATAGAGTATGTCTTAAATCACTTCCATGAGAATTTTCTGGAGGTTTCTCGAACAGTCCAGTGTTTGCTCTGGTTTGCTCGACGGTCCTCCCACCAGGTCCTGTAGTCCCCACTTCCACCCCAGGCTTTGAATCTCCCGCGGGACACTGTCAACACTACGACCACAGCATCGGTCCTTTTATTTTAGAAATATCTCATAGTTTGGATTTTTGATTCCAAAAGCTTACCTTGGGCTATTGCTTAAGTGCTGTTAACCTGTATTCGGAGGCCTAACGGTGCAAGGAATAGTGTCGCATTCATTTAGTTTTTGACATTAGGTTGGTACCGGCAGAGCTGCGCAGACGACAGCCTGCTGCGCCGTCCCTGATTGGTCACTTGTCCCCACCCCAGCGTCGAGCTGCCTTCTGATTGGCCAAATCATTGCACGGCCCTCGTAGAATCTTCTCGTTACTTCTAGGCGTGTTTTGAAGATTCCTTCGAAGTATAAAACCAGTCCACCACGTACAGTGTTCCACAATGTCATTCGGATTTCGTGACAAGGATAGACCCTCTTTACGCGACCGATTTCGAGGGAAGTCCGGCGATCAGATAGTAGAGGAGCTTCGGAAAAAATTGGACAACGACAGGGAGATGTTCTTCGAAAGAGTTCCTAATCCATCTAGTTTTCGAAGGGTGAGTTGGTTGGGAACGTTTCTGTCTTCTTGCTTTTAACATATTTTCCCCGACTTGTGGATTGGCACTGCTCCAATGTAATGTTTGTGTTGTGCCCTGGCCTAACTGTTCGATTTTGTCGCATGTCGTGCAGTTCCCTTGTTTTTGCTTTGTGGTTTTTAAGGTTATAGGGCTGCTTGGAGTGAGTGGTCAAGTCCCTGCAGTCGTTCACCTTGAACTCACTTCGTGCCTCATTACTCATTTGTCGTCCCGTGCGTGTGTGCCATTTAACACTTAATAGTTACTCCCTTCAGCTCTTTAGTTTGACTGAGCTCAAGTGTTGTGTGCCTTTAACTTATTTTTGTATTTTTCTTTTCTCTGTTGATTTTTCATGTAAACGTAATATATTTATATTGTTATTACTTTTGTTAGAAATTATCATCATTGGTTTCAACCAAAGGAATCTTAAAGTCATAGCATCAGTGCTACTGTTCGATTTTATCTTTGTTGAGCTGACGGGACCTCATTAACTTTGTGTGTCACATTAAGATTCTGTTGCCAATTAGTAATCATACTAAATAAGCACTTCTAGTTTATATTATACCCACTGTTGAGCTCAATTTCTTATCTCCCCTAAAATACTTCCCAACCCTGTACCTCAGATTTCATGTGTTCTGCTTGTTTTGATTCCGAGCCATTGACACCGTTGTCCTGGTTAGTAATTCCTCCCCCTCCCCAGACTAAATCATTTTCTTCAGCGTCCTGGCTGCGTTCAAAAGCCACGGGGTTTTCCCCCCACACCCCTGTTCTCTATTTATCTTGCGCGTAGCCGGAGTCCGAAGCGGAGAGGCACCCATCCTTTGCTTTTGCACGTTTCGCACGCGAACCTCGCGAAAAGGAGGAGGTGGGGCAGTAGTGGCAGAGAGGGGGAGGGG